TTGTTCTGGTGAATGCACACAGAAGAGAAGTATTCTTTTCAATTCTGTACTTTAAGCTTCTATTATGATCTTCTGAATTATTTTTCAGGGATGAAGCACAGAAGTTTATGATAGTGTATTGGTATCTATGGATCGTTGCCATGTAAGATTGCTTAGATAAAAACGCTTTCTTGTTATTAACTTGTGATATTAAATGAAATGAAATGAGAGAACGAAGACAATATAAATAATATTATTAATAAATATAATATGATAAAATGTGTGTTATATGATAGTAATGATAATATATAATAATATTAAATCGTACTTTTTATTTTAATTAATACTTTTTTTTAATTATTACTTTTTATTTTAAATAAATTTTAATCTAAATAAACATTCATTTGCATTTTAGAGTGGTCTTCGTCATTTCGTACTGTACTGTATCCTGCTCAGTGCGCGCCAGACGAACGCCTCCATTCAATTACATCTGCCTGATCCTACTGGTACGATTACTTCTTCTTTTTACACAATGGTCCCTGTAAATTAAAATTAATTCAGTTAAATTTCTCATGAATCACAGACAATGGCAATGTCATATCTAGCCGCCTTCGTCTCTGTGTTTTATGACATCGAGGTGATTCTCATCGTTTTGGGCATGACTGCCGTCGTTACGATAACTATAGCTCTTATAGCAACATTCTCCACGGTAATCCCATGTTTTTATTCTATTAGGTGTTGGAATTAATTCGTAGCGTTTTACAAGTGATGGGAAGTACTTTCATTAATGTATTTTTTAATGCTCATGTGAAATAAATAACATTCTTTCATTAAAAAACGCTACGAATTAATTCCAACACCTAATATATTCCCATTGCGATTTTATTCTCGATGTTTTTTGACTTAGTATACCTTACATTGAAACTTGCATTAAAATATAACATTAATTTTCTCTTAATTTTTTTTTTATTTACTATTCATATTTATGTCTTATAAATATCTTTATATCTTTTAATTATATTTTTTAATTTTTTTATTTCTGATTCAATCTGTATTGTTAAAATATTGCATTAATTACTTTGTCTTTTAATATTTCTCAGAAACTTAATTTCTGTTGTAAATATGCAACTTTATTATTTTTTTCTTTAATTTATTTGCATTTATATTAAATTAGAAACAAAGAATATATAAATGAAGAATCGTTTTATGATGAAATTGCAGTTTGATTTGACAATGAGACCAGGCTTGCTGATGATAATTGGACTGGTTGCGATCGTATCTATTTTTACGGTACTAATAATCCTATTGTTCACTCATATAATGGTTCTACGTCTGATAATAGCTATCATTGGAACGCTCCTGCTCAGCATGGTCAGTGTATTTTGAATTCTCATGAAAAAATCCATTCACCATCGTCCATTTTAGTATTTTAGTTCTTTGGACTTTAAAGCTTCTCGAATTTTTATATCTAGGATGCAACATTGATTTTAATTCAGCTGGAAATTTTTATCTACTTTAGTAGTTCTTTCACTTTTTTATATTAATATAATGCAATTTATACAGCAATTATTAAGAGATATATAATTAAATAATCTAAAATAAAAAAAATAAAAATAAATAAGTATACTAAAAAGAATTATATTGTATTTCTGCATTTTCTGTATATCCATTGCGAAAATTAATCGGGAAGGTTGTCAATAATTAATTTCCTGTAATATAAATTAAAATAAATTAAATAGACAAAACTCAATGATAAAATCATTTTATGTATTTTCAGTATTTGTACTTCGACGTGCAAACAATCATGGGTGGACGCAGAATAGAATTGAGTCCCGACGAAGTCATCTTCGCAACTACGCAGATTTACGTTGACATCATACTGTTGTACCAGTACTTGCTGATATTTATGGGATTCTTTCACCGATGAAGAAAAGGAAATAAACGTCTTTGACGTATTGTAATATTTTACATTGATATATGTATATATCTATACATGTATATACATTTCTATTATGTACTATTACAGTGCTCGCAAAGATTTGTACATTTCGGCCGATTCCGACGCGCTATCCTCGCTGGCCGAGAACGCTCACGTGACGCTCTGGCTCAGGAGCTGTAGTTTAAACGTGCAGAGATCATATTTTATGTTGTAAAAGAATATTTTTTTTGCAAAATAATTTTACTCTTAAAAAAATCAAATAAATTTTCTAAAACATTTTTGTCAATAATTTTTGCTTACCAGAAACCATTCAATAATTGTTATAAATTTACATCGAGAAGTTTCTATAACAGACTTGCGAAGATTAAAGTCAGAAAATACGTGAATCTGGAAATTCCGTGTTTTCTATACGAAGTCTTACAAAGCGATATAGAATCGCTGTTAACTGGATGAGTAAGATTTGCTGACTTCAATCTTTGCAAGTCTGATACTTTTCGATGTAAATTTGTAACAATTATTGAATGATTTCTGATAGGCAAGAATTATTATGACAAAATGTGTTAATTATTCTAGAAACTTCTCGATGTAAATTTATAACAATTATTAAATGGTTTCTGATAAGCAAAAATTATTATGACATAATGTGTTAGTTATTCTAGAAACTTCTTGATGTAAATTTATAACAATTATTGAATAGTTTTTGATAGGTAAGAATGACAAAATATTAGAAAATTTAGTATTTGATTTTTTTAAGGAAATAAAAATTATTTTGGAAGAAAAATATTCTTTAATAACGTAAAGTACGATCTCCGTACGTTTAAACTACAGAAACGCCGAGCCTTGAGTGATAGTAAGGGTAGCGCGCCAGAATCGGCCCAAAATATGCAAATCTTTGCGAGCACTGTACTATTATATATATCTTTCTATTATGTACTATTATATATGTATATATATATATTATAACATTTATATAAATATATTAAAATATGATCATATCTTTTGCTTTTGAATTAATTTAATACATTATAATTTTATAATAATCTTATAAATTAGAATTTTATACATCATTGTTACCTTATTTTAATCTAATAAAAATTTTTCTCAGTATTTTTATATAAATTGGAGCACTTTTTCTAATACTAAAAAAATCTTTTTATAAAATTTTTATATATACAAAAAATATTTTAAAATTTCTTATTCAATTACTTCTAAAAAAGTATCTTAACTTTTTAGCTTTTATAAGATTTCATTAGAAATTATAGAAATCTGATCAAATATGATTATGAGCATTAATTAATGAGCTCTCTTTGATCATTATCATTATTAAGATTCTCTTAGTCATATTCTGGAGTATTATAACATTGCAATATTGCATGGTGGTTGCGAAACGTTGCTGAATTATTGCTGCAAGATTCCAACAATATTAAGATGTCTGCTTTTTGTTATATTGCAATGAAATTCCAGCAATATTGCAATGTAATGTATTTGGATAAATTTCTTACGAAGCTCTGAAGAAAATGAAAATTATTTTCTGTACATTAATCTCATTAACTTTAATTTTTTTACAAATCGCGTTTCTAGTAATATGTGCTTTCTATAAAGCAATTTTTTTATGATAAAATCATAAAATATTTCAATAAATGTAGTATTAATTTTGAAGGATAAATTTATTCGTAAGGATAAAGCATGTATGTATGTGCCCCGAACAAACTACAAATATTATTCACATTAACATAATAATACAGTCACTTAGTAAGTTAATCATGGATTAAGTTAATCACAATGATTCTTTTTAATTCCAAGCCACTTCGAATAATTGAAATCGATTAAAAAGTGACAGTATGAAATTTATCAATAAAGTTTGGATGCTGGTTTATTCTTGTTTATATCAGGCATACAAATACATCATCGATCACATAATTAACATTTTGATAAATCGTTTTTAGCTTAATTGCTTATCGTCTTATCCGATAATGATGCATTGATTGTATCTAAATTCGATATTATATAAAATTTTTTGATATTTAAAATAAATAACTTAGTTAGTTTATTAATGGCCGTCAAATAATAGATTAATAAATTTTTTACTTAAATATAAAAATGGATTATATTAATTATTATATCATAAAAACAGCTATTAAACTAAAAGACTGTACTACATAAATATTAGAAAAAATTATATTTTTATATTATTATTGTAACAATTAAAGAATTACAGTTTTGCAACGTTTCTGAAATTTTACAGACATTTTGCAGGGATATTAATTTACATCTCTGCAATGTTACATTGCAATCTGCAATATTGTAACATTGCAGCAATATTGTTTCAATTTTCTGTGCTGTATGGAATATAATTATAATATGGATGTTCAGTGAAAATGAATGTTGAAATTTTTAATAATAACAATAATGTTTAAAAGCAATATTTAATTTAAATTCACTAATTGTTGAGTTTAACTCCCGACTTGTTTTTCCTTCAGTCGTTTTTTTTTTATATAATGACGCGTCGAATGAGCTTAATTTTATCAATATCGTACGTGAGGGAGCTAAACTCAACAATTTTTCAAAAAATAACAATTCGTTACTTTTTCAAATAATGGCAACGATAACATGTTACTATTTAAAATGAATAACTGGCAACAGTAACGAATTATTTTTATAATTGTTGTAATAACCTGTTATTTTTTTAAGGTAACGTTTCCAACTCTACTCACTATAGTTAATTCGCATTATTACCTACCGATAGAAAAGAGAACTACAGGAGATACGTATTTATTCATCTATCGTATCCATCTATTATAGATTCGGACTTATCGACAGTCGATAATGATGCTATCTATATAAATCAGTATAAGAAAATTTTAAAATTATAAAACAATATATTAATAAATTTCTATTAAAACTTACTTTTTTTTCTTGAAAAGAAACCAATGAAGCAGTGATTAGAACGTGCAATCTACACTCATTTAGATTCGAAATTGTCTCTGTCTCTCTCTTTCTCTCTCTCTCTATCTATCTATCTATCTATCTATCTATCTATCTATCTATCTCTATCTATCTCTATCTCTCTCTCTGTCTTTCATTGCGATTGCATCCCAAAATCACAAGCGATGCGAGTTATATGTTTTGAGTGCTGTTCGTCGCAATTTCGAGCGAATTTCTTGAAAATTATGCGATCCTCGCTACGCTGGAGATAAACTGCAATCAATTCTGAAACGTTATCTCGAGTGTCAAGCGCAAGGCAGGAAAGAACAGAAAGGAGCAGCGATTCTTTCTTGACGAGTGCGTCTGTGAAGTTATAACCCTCATTGGCTTTTTTCTGTTGCATAGACAGCATCTTTTTGCTCATGATTTTTAATGATTTAGTGATACTAATCGTATTGTTAGTTTAAATTTTATTTATCTTGTCGGGAAAATATTAATATACGTTTCATTATTTAACCCTGCTGTCTATTTGACCCAAAATGTAATCTATTTTCTTATTAATATTTTATTTAAAAATATTTTTTCTCCAGTGTTTGATGATTGTTTTTTAGTATCTTTTTTCTATAAAAATTTTTATTTTTTATTTTTTGGAATTGATTAATCATATTGATCCAAACAATATAATTGTATAGTAAATTTAGATAGATTTAATTATTTAGACAGATTTAATACTTTAAAAGTACAATTTATCGGCAGTATTGGCCCAATATATTCCCAACATATCCAATAAATTGCTTCTAGGGTAGCAAGATTAAGCTATTGTAATAATGTATCACTTAATGTATCATTTGAATCAAGACTAAATGTATTGATATTTTATTAATTTAATTGACATTTCATTTACTTTTTTAAATTAAGTTTGTAGATTAACTTCTTAATTAGACTAATTTTCATAGAAAATGGAGGATGAACGCTTAATTGGCAAGGACACAAAGACAGATGAGAATACTGAGACCAAACCTAAGGAAACTCTAGGCTTAATCACTACAGTAGCCCTGGATACTCTGCATCGTGATGTTAGACGTGTTCTACAGGAGTATGAAGAGGAGCATAGGAAAAATAAGTAATATTTTGTACAACAATTGTGATTATTTAGAACAAATATGTAAATTTTTATGACGTTACACTCATATCATGACATATGTTTATATTCAGGAAGTATAGAGCTTGGCTGAAGGACACCCTGCACCATCGTAGCCAATATACAACGCTCTGCTGGACCTCTGCGATCGCGCTGTTGATCAATGCCATTATTCTCATCGTTGCGTTCTTTACGCTTAATGAAACATGGTAAGTTAGATGGAAATGTACCTTTATGTGAAATTTTTCTTGTTTTTTACTTATTCTATTTATTTTTGGGACAATAGCAGCTTCATAAATAAGTATTATTACAGGTATTCAACACTGCCGTATGAAGGACTGATAGTCTGTTGTTTAGTAGTATTGAATTTTATCTTAGTGGTATCGGATAATAAATTACGACATGAAGAAATTCCTCATAGAGTGAAAATTCTTCTTGATCAACTCAATGGTATGTATTTAGATAAGGATTACCTTGTAATTTTTATTTTGTTTCAAAATTGAAATTTACAAAATTGAAAATTACAAATATAGAAAACCTAAAGTACACGATGCAAGTTTTCCTGTTGATTAGTTGCTTGTGATTTAGTAAATTTTTATAATCGCACTACATAGAACATGGAATTTATAGTAATTTACTAAATAACAATTTAGCAGGAAAAAACGATGCTTAACATGAATTGCAGTTTCTATGTACATACAATTATTTTTTATTTGCCAATATTTGCCTATAATATATAAATATGTCATCTAAAATTACTATTACTTTAATTTTGCTTTCTTAACATTCTTCTTTTGTTATTTGCATTTCAATAAAATTATCATTATTGTTATTAAATCTTGCAATGGTAGTGTTATACAAGTGTTTCAAAATTGCAGTTGCACGTTCCACATGTCAATGGAGGTCTGAGAACTACCCACATTTGTGCAGTCCGCAATCCCCTTGCTTGACCTTGCAGTGGACGTATCGTGATGGTGAAGTAGTCAACTTGCCGTGGGCCTTATTAGTGGCCGGTGATATAATCGTGATGAAGCCAGGCCAGCAAGCACCTGGATATTGCGTGCCATACAACGTACGTGACTTGAATTCTTTCAGATCCATCGTAGATCTCACAGATGTTCAGTCTTCAAGATATCGAAGTTAAACAGAGATTTTGCTAAAACACTGTGTAGAATTAGACTTCTAATCGAACTTCAACGTAGATTTCTAGATGTTCACTCTTCAGAAGTTGTATAGAGATTTTACTGAAATAGTTAATCAAACTGTTCAAAAGCAAATTTCTTGTAGCTGATTGAACTTTCAGGATCCAGAAGCGCCTGTTTTGCACGCAAGAGAGACTTACAGTGTGTCAGTACACAGCGCGAACGAAATCTTCTCCATGCCGCAGTCCCGCATACCTCTGAAGAGTAAGATCTACAAACTTCAGGAAACACCGTACTTGGTGAATCTGCGAATGGCGCTCGATCAAGCTCTCGATCGACCAGTAACTTATTACAATCGCAAGCGTCACTTGCTGATGATCTGCTGCATTGAGCACTTGACCTATCCGATACTCGTGATTGTTATCCTTGTGATCAATCTGCTCCGTTATCTATATCTGACAGACTATTTTGGCACTGGTCACTGGAGTGAAATGTTTCTGTTGCAACCGATCGCTGTGAGTCTTCCGTTGTTACCATTGGTGTTTCCCGCCTGTTGGATATTCCTCAATTGCTTCGGCATGGCTCGTTTCAAAGCGTTGTTCAAGCTTTATCTGTCCGCAAAAAAGCTCCAGGTCAGTATTGATTTAGAAATTAATTATTTATAAATTAAAACATTAACATAATTATAGCTCTATATGAAGAAATTAGTATTTTATATATTTATAGAATTGTAATCATAATTTTATACATTTATTCACGCGCATACAGAATTACATTATTTTATCCCAAATGTAGTAACATTATAAGAATTCTATATGAAATCTCACATGATGAAAGTTCTAGACAAAAAAATCGTAAATAATATTATGAAGAGTTTATTAGAAAATTTAAATTTGTCTATGAATTTTTTATTTAAATTTGCCTTTTTTTATGTCTTTTCTTATGATTAACAATAAGAATAAATGAAATTAACCGGTATTCATAGTTTTTATAGTTAAGAATATCTGAAGTATAATTTTAAAATGTGAACCAATTAGAGAATATTTTAAGACAATTTTTGCTTGAGATGGTCTTGAGATTAAGAATAGACTATGAATATTATTTGTTAAGAGTACTTGCGAATTGATACATTATATTCAAAATTATGTAACTATGATGAATTTATAATCATATATTATTCATAGAAATAAATTCTTTCTTAATTTTTAAAATTTTATTTAAAAAATGATAAGGATTTAGGTATGTATGTAACATAATATAGAGAGACATTCATAGAGATTTTTATAATTTTTACGAATTAAAAATTATTATTAATTACAAAATGTTACACTGATTTATAATTTTTATAAATGTAGTTTGTAGATCCTTTTGAAGACGCAGAAATCAATGGTCCCAATCATCCGGACGTAGTGTACAACTGGCTGGAACTCAAAGAATATTTCTTCGATATTCTTTTCGGCAACGAGCACATGATGTCGCGATCGGCGAGCATTCTGCACGTTCTGGGCTCTGTAACCGTGAGTATCGTAGCACAAATTGATTATAAACTGAGTAATCAAGTAATAATGATTATCAATATATTTTTGTAGGCGCTGTGCTGCGTAGATAAGAAGGGAATTCTCTCATGGCCTAATCCCACGGCGGAGAAAGTATTTTTCCTACGTAACGCCAATATTTTGTCGCCGAGCTCGAGGTAGTCATCTTATAGTCGCGGACCCAGTTGGGGATATAAGAATCCGAGTATCTAAAAATCCAAGAATTTGTGAATTTGCCCCCTGAGATGAAGGAATTTAACGTAACTTAAATTTGTGAAATCATTCGGTGGAATCGTATCGACGCGATTACAGTCCCGTTTATTTTACAGTACCGGCAGCGTGGACAAGACGACTGACAAGAATCAGGAATCCGAGGAGACCAAGGTGAACTCCAACAGAACGTCTTACGTACAGCATGGTAAGGAAGGATGGGAGACAACGAAAGCCGAGTGCGCAACGTAACGTCCGATGCTTCGCAGATATGTCGCACTCCACCGCCGAGGTCCTGGATCTCACCCACGATCATGCCCTGCCGTTCCGACTGCAGTTCGACGATCACTCGTGGCGACAACATCTGAATTCGCTGAAACCGCTTGGTCTGGCGATCCTCCTCAACACGTGCAACATGGACACGCAGGAACACTACACGCAATTCTGTTGTCACGTCACTTGCGAGGCTCTCTACAATGAGAACTTGGTCCCAGTGACGAACAGACGGTACATTGTCCTCTTTTTTTTCTCATTTACGATTTCTTAGGAGTTGCGATTTTTCTACAAAATCTATTATTGAAAATGTATTCAACAGATGTCTGTGCGAACTGGCGAAGCAGATCGGTTTCCAGGATCAAGCGCAGAAAATCTTCCAACTGGAACAGCAACTATGTACATTTAGACATGTAGTGAGTATTGATAATTCTTTGCATGTAAAAATTTAGGAAAATATTTTTTTTTAATCAATTATCTGCAATCTGATTTTTTTTGGAACAGACGAAATTTCACTCAAATTTCCTCTTCATTTTTGCTCAAATTTCAATTTAAAGATTTTAATATTTGAATTTAAAAATTATTTGGTGATGTAACAGAGATATTGAGAGTAATCTTGAATTTTTTTTCTGTTACATCGCAAATAGTTTTTTAGAAAAAGTAAAAATATTTGCAATTAGGAGAGTTAATTCATAATAAGATCACTTTTTGCTAAAATTCTGAAAATTAATCGCACATTTTAGCAATCACTTAAATTGTTTTGAATTGAAGTTTGAATAATTCTCTATAAATCAGTTTTTGTCAAATTCTTAGAAGAGTCATCATTTTAAAAAGATATTATTTGGAGAGGAATAATTTATATTATAAAAGCGAATCGATTAGAAAAGCAAACTAAAACGATCTGTTTGATAGCAACCAGAGATGGTCAGGCGGGACATAAAGTTCGCGCGTTCACTGAGCATTGCGACAAAGTTGAAATTCCCGTTTCCTCACATGGTCGCCGTAGTCGTGAAAGAGCGCAGCGGTGGTGGTCTACAGTTGTTGACACAAGGAACGGCTGACATAATTCTGGACTCGTGCATCGAGTATTGGGATGGCCACGATCTCTGCCCTCTTTCCGCATCAGACAGGTATATCGTTCGGTTTAGATTCCATTAATCTCTTAAATGGAAACTGATTGTGTATTTTAAAGAAGTAAAAGAAAATTACAAAAATTCACTAGATATTGATCAATGAATTTAAATCATAAATGTTACAAATATTAATTATAAAAATTAATGTGCTCATTTTTGTAATTTTCATCTCGTTTCAAAATACAATCTGTTTTCTGGATTATTCTATTGTACAAGAATTTTTAAAACGTTTGATGCATAAAGATCAATTGTTATATATTAGTCTTGATGATTTCTCCTTTTACAGGAAAAAGGTTCAAGACTTCTACCAGAGGACGAGCTTAACCTCGTATTGCACCGCATTCGCTTATCGACCGCTGACGCGCGCCATCAGCGACAACATGTCCGAGATATATCTGGAGCTACCAGCGGATAGCAAACATTTGTACACACCTCACAGGAGTCCGACTCCTTTACCGTGGGACTTCAGAAATGTTCTCGATCCCAGAGTACGAGGAATATTGGGACAGTTTCATTCGACAGGTAGTTACTAATTTAATGGATATTATATTGTAACTTTGATTTTTTAAAATATCTCAATAGCAGAACGAATCAAATATATATATATTAATTTCATGCTTTCTTATTTTTCATTTGGATTTCTTGATATTATAATTTTTTTTTATATCTCACTCATTTAATCTAGATATATTTTATATTATTTTAATTTCTTAATTAATTTGTTTTTAATTCGCAAATATTTCAATTGTAATAAAAATATGGCTTTCTTTTCAGATTCCTTGCTGTGTAACGAAAATAAGGATGATAACGTGAACGATATTGAAAGCTGTTTCGAGGTGCAGTGCAATCAGGTTTTCATCGGAATGGTTACCATGCAATATCAGGCACAAACCGATATGGTGCGATATTATTATGGTCAATGGTTAATAATTTGTACTGTGAACACAATAAATTAATATATATATTATGACTACAGGTACAATTGATTGAACAATTGGATAGAGCATGCATAAGGTTTGTGCACTTCAGCAAGGAGAACGAACTGCGCTCGCGTGTTTTCTCAGAGAAAATGGGCTTGGAGAGCGGCTGGAATTGTCACATCTCATTACTCAGCGAGGGGGCCAGGTATCGTTTATCATCGAGACGCGATGACATCGCCGTTTTTCTCTCAATGTTTCTTGAATTTCTTATGGGGCATATCCGCGACTTACCGTCAGTGTCTCTGATCCAATTCTCTAAAACTTTTACAAATGAATCTCACTTTGAAGAATGAAATCTCACTCTTAAAGATTGAAAATTGAGCCGCTCTTTTTTTAAGACTGGCTCAATTTTCACTCTTTAGAATCAGATTCCACTCTAAAAAATTTAGAGAGAACGTCCTCTTATCATCTCTTAATTTTTAGACAGTACATTTCCTTTTACAAGAGGGAAGGAGAAAGAAAAGATTTTTTAAATGAGAAAAAATATATTTAAGAGAGGTGTGTTTCCGATTGAAAGAGATAATTGTAGGATCAGAGGAGAGAGAGAGACACGCATGTGGGAAAATTGCATGCATATGACGGAATAAATCTCTTATTCTTTTTAGAGCGAGCTGCCATGAAGCTCGAATGTAAAATATATACATGTATTGCAGGAGACAGCAAAGGCTGGAGAGATATCCGCATATGCCCCCGTCGTATATGTTTGTCTATACGTCTTTTCTTACTTTTGTAATTATTAATATTGCATGTTCATCGTTGCTACACAGGATATCTCGAGAAAGAATATTACAAAATCCAGTTTGTACACACACTTGATTTGAATACAGATTAATAATATAACATATTATATCCTTTGATTTCTATAGTTTGTGTTAATACAGATCAACTCAAATGTTTATTTTTTATGTGTCGTATAAAAATCTATTTAAAAATAAAACTTTATATATTTAGATATATAAAGATACCATTTAAGAAAGTATGCATAAATAGATCAAACGATCTTTAGAAATTCTGAAAATTATGGTTTGAATTAAACTTAAGATTGATCCTCAAACTTAAGTTTAATTCAAATCTCAAAATTTCTCCGAGACATCCTGCAGTATCACTAATTTTAAAGATGTCGCGATCATTTTGGCTGCAGTGTCTTAATACCTAACATGTATAACTAATATCTCTTTTTTTTATTCAGGACAGAGCCGCACAATAACAATAATTTTATTTTATTTTTACTTTGTGTCTCTACTGCTTTATAACCATTTTTTTAATGATATGTTAACTAATGTGGAGCAATTTATTGCAATTGCAAATTGACGCCTATTGAGAATTTTCATTATGCAAATACACGATTACTCGCGCGAAGATTACACAATTATATGTACTGTAATTAACACACACATGACAATATTAGGTCCGAGAGTCCAGTGGGTTGGTGGGTGAGCCAGGCAGCAGCCATGTCCTCACCCACTCCCTCACCCACGGCCCAATCTCATCAGCCTAATTACTCCTGCATGGACGAGGCCAGCCACTTGCTTAATCGTGTCTTACCTCGGTACGTTACACCGATTACATGCAGAAATAACTCACTATATACGCTGTACAATATGAAATCAGATTTCTGCTTTGCTTCAAAGAAAGAAAAAAAGCTATTAAAAGGACAGCATAGCACTATAGAATGCACGAGATCTAATCTAATAGAAGATTACAAACATTTGGATAATGAGAAATGAATTTGAAAAAATGAAGCATTAATCAAAATATCATGAAAATATGCAAATATTTAAAATCTCATGCTCTTCTATGGTTAATCGATCGCAAAACATGCGCAGCATGATGAGAGAATTTTCATTTTTTTGTTATGGAAGCTTTGTCGTGTTCGAAAGAATGAATTAACATATTCTCTTGGCTTCTTAGCATTAATGTACTTCTACTACTCACCGTTGTGATTAGCGAAGTGTCGAGCAATCAGAGAGTATCCATTAAGAAAGAATAATTCTCATTTTAGCACCAATCTGAACAACAGCCGAGCGATGAGCATGTCGGCGCCAAGCGCTATCAACACTGACTTCTCGACAGTGAAATTCGACGATGAAACAACCGAGTGGAATAATACAGGAACATCGCAAGTCAAGAGCACGATGAGCCACAGGTTGCTGTTGATATCTCTAAAGCAGAATAAAAAACAATTTCTAAAACATACTCGATGCTATTTAAGATTTCATGATGCTACAGAGATAACAAACTGTCGAGCAGGGAGCAGGACACGGTGAGAAGCGAGGACAGCGTCCTGGTGCAGAGCGTCGATTTGGGATCAGGCCAGGAAGCTTGGAGATCCTTGAGCTGCCTCACCGACAGCACCGAACAAAGTGCGCCAGTCAACTTCGATTTATCGAATAGGGTAAGATGATCTTCTCTTGGATTAAATCTAATAAATGTTTATGACAAAACATAACATAAGAAGGTTGTTAAATTTTGGCTGTTGTATTCTTTATCAAGAAGAAACATCGGAAACGTCGAAGAAATGATTACCATAAATCTAAAAGTTGTTTAATAAAATATTGCAAGAATTAATCAACAAAACAACTATATTGTTCGATATATAATTTAATCTTCGAACTTTTTTATTTTGACCGAAATAGCCTTTACTTATTCTGCGTATATAGGCTAAACTGCCGAGGGGCATAGACAAGATACGTCCGCACATCGAGCTGATAGATAACGTTCCTTTACTCGTGTCCCTATTCACCGACTGCAACACCACAGTAACCCGCGAGATGTTGCATATAATGCAGGATTATGGCGAGGTGGTGTGTGTGCTTGGCTCCTCTGCCAACGCCGAGAACATGCCCATCTTCATGCAGGCTGACGCAGGGTAATTTATAATAATTATGATCTCACTGATTCAATCGATTATAATAGGATTGTCACTTGGAAAATTGAGAAAAATCAGAGAAATTGAAATTGATCACCGGGAAAAGTTAGGGAAAAATGTAAAAAAGTCTGAAATTTCGAAATTTGTTCACAATTCTCTACTGCTCCTATTCCAAATAATTGTTATAATTTTTTAAATATTATATCTGTCGTTTATAATCAAAACTTGTGCACTTTAAATGATTTTAATAAAATAATTAAAATTTATATTCATTGCTTGATATTCAATATCATTGTATTTATTGGTCTGGCGTTTTCATTGCTTTAGATATTATGTTAATGTAATGTTTGTTCTCTATACTATTTTTAAATTTTAACGTGAATTTTTGAATTTACGATACTTATGAATACTTTGTGCACTTTGACACCAATAAGGACTTTTATTATTTTTATATCTCTAACATATATTGTTACGAACGTAATATCAGATTCATGATGACAGGATTCTTTTTTCCAAAATTAATTTATTTTTTGCTGGCTTGAATTTGCATCCAAAATTGTACTAAGCTTTTTTGTGTTATTTTTAATAATATAGACTAGCTTTCCCTACAATCCTTGAGTCTAAAATGTTAAAATTTACATATTTTATATTATTACTTATGGAAAATGTTCTATTTTCATCTGGAAAATCTGGAAAAGTCAGGGAATTTTAAAATTCATTTTCTGTGGCAATCCTGTACAAGGATTCAGATATTTCATTCAGATTTTCAGGCAAGATTCCTAAAAAATTTTGAACAAGTGGTCAATCACATAACTTTTTCCTTAAGGCGGAAATGTGAAAAGTCAGAATTTTTTGTATGAATGTGTTAATGTTTTCGATCATAGCAGGTTTTAATTGAAAATGCTAACTATGTATGCACATACAAACGTAAAAATTTTTACTTTTCACATTTCCGCTCTAGAGAAAAGTTACATGATTGATATCCAGGGTATTGATCATGTAACCTTTGCTCTAGAGCGAAAGCGTGAAAAGTGAAAAATTTTATATATACATGTACATATACACATACATAAATGTTCATACAAAAAATGTTCACTTTTCATATTTTCACCCCAGGGAAAAAGATACATAATCGATACTATTACATCCCGATAAAATCCTCTTATTCTTTATCATAGATATACGATTTATACCCTACTTTTTATTTTATCTCTCGCTAGGTTAATATTTCCCTATTTTATCTTTATTTCAAAATCGAAAATTCCTTTTCTCTTTTATAAGAGGGTACATTCAGTTTCTTTATTTAAACATTCAAACCAACAGATAGATCACGTTATATACTTTTATACGTCATACAAATTATCTACAGATTATTCTAAAGAATGTCTAAGAATATCACACGATCTTTCTCAAAGAAGCCCTTCTATAAAATAACAAATATAAAAGCGTACATTAATAATAATGTATATTATATTAGCATTTAACGATTAAGTAATTAGCAGTAAAATAGAAATCTTCCTGAATGCGAAAACGATTATCTTTTTTCCCTTTTTCTTTTTCTAATAAAGTTAAATTAATTTTAAACATATGAATGTAGTGAATTCGCCTCGCATAAAGGATATTAAAGAAAAATCGAATTTTTATTACTACAAATTGTTAAAACTCAACTATTACTTATTAAGAATAAACTTGTAGAGTGGGGAGTAGGGCTTACGTGGAACCTTGCTGCTTTATCTCAAGGAAAACGCGAGTATAGGTTCTACCAAATTTTGAGGAGTGTCGATTGGTTCTGAAACATTCCCACACTCATTTTCAAAATATAAAAGGAGCAGTCAGTCAGTCAGTCAGTTAATTATAATTACAGTTATACAATCAAGGTGAGAACTATCCTCGCGCTTCATCAGAACCTCACGCATATATGAATATATGAATATCTGAGGGGTTGTTGCGACTGTCGCTGCCAATAGCGTGGCCCCCGTTTACGACGGTTCTCCGGAACATTATTATTATAATTCTTTTTTTGCATTACTTCCATGCTTATCAAAGGCGGACGAAGACAAAGAGAAAAGAGATTAAAACATATTACATTGAAAAACGGAAAAAATCTCAATAGCAATACCCAGTAACAATACCCAGAATTAAATTTCTAAAGAAATATCTATATAGAGAGATTCTAATTTTGTCGATTCAATGCAAAAATAATGTTTCTAATCGAAGTTTTCTAAAGATTTGTAAATCGATTATAGAGTGGCAGTGGAGCCCTTGTATCCTCAGGTATGTCAGAAGGTACCAGTATTGATATCCCCTACGGAGAGCCAAGGAATTTCTCCTGTTGATCTGAGTAGAGCACTAAACTCTGTTACATGTTCACTGAGTGTGAAACGCGAGGATCCTGTAGCAATTTTTCATCTCATTATGGAGGTATGATTCCAAAAAAATAAACGAGAAGATATTGAACCATGACAAACAATAATAAACTTTTTCTTGTATGCACACAGGCTCGTCATTACATGAAGAATCTATGGAATTGTATACAATTTTGGCTGTGCTGTGTAGTTACGCTCTCATTTGTACAAATGCTGTCGGCGTTTCTACTGCTGCCGCCACTGTTCTCCATCGATCAAATACTCTGGTTGTGCTGCTTGATAATTCCCGTACTGTCGACATCCATGATCACCACGCCGATAGACTCGACGATAATGCAACGCGCGACTGGGAAAAATCAATGCGTGGTCAATGGAGAGGTGAGAAGAGCCAAGGATAAGTGTATGATATTAGTGATTTTTTTGAAACTCGTGTTTTATATGATCCAAATCATATAAATCCAAATTATAAAGGAGGAAAACGCTATTTTTTACTCTATTTTTATTATTCATTTACTTTATCATTTTATACTAGTATTTAATTTTGATATATAATTTAAATGTATAAAGTGTAAATTTGAGAAAAAAGGAGTAAATCCGTGATCAGAGATTAAATTTGAGATTGAATTGGAGTTTATCAATCAAAGCAAAATTCATTAAACTTAAGATTGATTTTCTTTTTTTTGATTGGTTAAATTCTGATCCAATCTCAATCTCTGGTTCAATCTTCTAATCTGATCACGGCTTAAAGAGTTTTGTGGAAACACTGATTTATAGTATACACTGACATATAGTTTACAAATTTTGAATAATTTCAGTCAAGAAAAGAAAACAACTTTATTTAAAACATTTGGGCACTTTGAATTCAAATTTGCCATAAAAAAATATAGGTATCCATAGTTCGTTCGTAATCTCAAGTCCATCTCAAGCAATGTCTTAAGATGCTTTTTTTTTCCAAATAATTTAGATGCGACAAGTGATGAACAAGGCGAACAAGATGTTTTCAGGATTAGATAATAATAATTGAAAAATATTAAGGATATTGATTCAAAATTAAACAAAAATTAAACGCTCAATTCTTCTGATTTTTTTCTAATTTCAATAAAACTTCATTATATATTTCGAAAAAAAGTGTAAAAATCCAATTTGTCTTTTTTTATCTGATCGAAATATTAGGTATAGTAAAAAGAAATCCATTTATTAGAAAAATAATGGATTTCTTTTTACTACACCTAATATTTTGACGGCAGATTCAGCGTCGAAAATTCTTATCCTAGAAACAGTCTTCAATTGCTCTTGCATAAAACCTTGTAAATTGATTATATTTAATAATTTTAATTTAATAATTTTATTTATCAACATTAATTCAAATTTCGAGAACAGAGATGACACTGAGAAATACATTATAGGTCACACTATTCGTGTTATGGTGCTATGGCAGCAAGTTCTTGCCAACGGTGATCACAGTGATTCTCTCGCAGTGCATCTCGTTTCTGACGCTTTGCCCCGTCTACGTACCACAGAACTCCAAGTGCCTGTACATATATCCGGATCCGCGGGACCAGATTTGGGGCGGCTGGGGTAGCAAGCCGATTGTCGTTCTGGTCGTACAGCATTTCGCTCTCACGCTTATAGTTCTGCATTTCGGTAATTATGCACCAACGATATTTTAATCTCCTTATTAATATATTGGCATATTGTCAAAAAGTTTAATCTAGTTTGTCAAATCTTTTATTTTGTAGAAAATTACTCAATTTTAATTTTTTAATTTCTATTAATCGAAATAGTCTTTCTTCTGTCTTCAAGTTCAGTTTTATTTTGGCTTTTTCCAAAATTTTACAATTCTTCAAAAAGTTATGCATTATTAATTTTTTTAAATCAAAATTTAACTGAAATGTTTAACTGCAAATATTTTACATCAATACGCTTACATACACTTGTTGACATATCACACACTTGTTCACATATCATAGACATACACTTATTAACATTACATCATACACTTATTAACTTATACATCATTCATTCATTGATATATGCGAACAATATTTAAAAATTCATTAATATCTATCTTTTCTTTCAGTTACGATATCTGTTAGCTTTGTACACAGGGAATACTCGATATGGAAGAAAAATCCTATGAGTAATTGCACCTGGTTTCTTGGTGTATTTATTGTGTAAGTAAAAATTCTAATTTTACTTAAAAAAATTGGTTCTTTTAGAAAAAAATCTTTAGATTATAGATTAAATTCTAAAATACATCTATCATTATTGTTGTAGATTGTGTGTGCAAGCGATATTCTCTGGTATAATGTTCCGCAAATTTTGGCGAGAAGAGAGCAAAAAGATCGAAAACTTCCCGCTACACGTGCCATTATTCTTTCTATTCTCTGTTCCGCTGACGTTTGTAATTAACGAGTTGATCAAGTGGCAAGAGATCAAGTAAGTCAGTTTCATATGCCTTAAGTCATTCACTGCAATTTCTTCGAAATTAATTAATATTCATATTTCTTTTTTTTCAGAGTGAACGTGAGATATCAGAAAAGGGCACGTTTGGAATTTGGCACAAAGCTAGGAATGAATTCGCCATTTTAATCCAATTTGCAGCATCAATTTGACGTCTTCGAAATATCAAATGTGTTTTAAAAGATATACGGGTATATCATTAAGTGTATATATTATTAGCATGTATTTTATCGAAAGTACTGGTATTATGATTTAGTTGCTGCAGACTCGAGAAATTCAAAGGGCTCGAGGATCTTTAAGAGCTTCATGTACTTACAATGCTGTGTCAAATATTGCCAAATTTGATTAGACTTGAGCAAAGCCGGTATTTTCTATAGCGATGTGTGTATTTATATTTTGCGACCATCGATTGCGAGCTTAAATGAGCACCATGGACGAATTTTCTATCTCGTTTTCATCAAACCGTTCCGATTAAAGTGGTTTCTTTTCGATGAAATTATTTACGAGAAGCCGCAAAAACATCGTTAAGGCATATTATTTCTCTCACTTTTGATTCTATCATTATTCAAGATGTCCCACATAGGTATCGCTTTAGGTTTCATTTATTTAAAAAAAAAGAGATTATTTTAATAGTTTAAAAATTATAGAAAGATTGTTTCGCGTTCTTCTAATATCCATAATAATGCGAGCGTGCCTGGGAAGTTTAGACATCTTGCATTTGACGATCTTATCATTAGTGTTATGTAAAGTACTTAAACATAAATATGTTCCTACTGATAACTTTGGTATCCTCGTTGACGTTCGATTTCGCCCGAGCTCGTTGTAGAATCGCACAGTTGAGAAATTAGGCGTTTTTAGCGTTTGAACGCAACGATAGTTATTTATTTATCGTGATCACAGATTAGTGAGGATTTTAGCGAATTAAATGTAATTCTGCGAGTTGATTAGATAGTAACGTCGAACTAAATTCGAATTGTAGCAGTGATAGTCTCGCTGGTACGAGACAATGCTCTGGTTGTACGAGACAGTGCTCGGTCACATCTGGATTGCATAGAGTTCTTGATTTCCAACCGATAAAGTGGAATATAATCATAATCGCGATTTTCAGAACGGCCGAGCTTCCACAATTAACCGCAAACTTAATTTCTTCCTTTGCACTGCTTTTGCATTATTTGATTTTAATAATGATACTTTATATACAAACATGCACGTGCATATACCTTTATTGTTCCTTTTCTTTACTCTAAATTGATGACGCAATTTTCATATGTTGTGCAAAGTGTGTGAGTGGAGATCATAAAGGAAAATTATTAAAGATAGTTGTTGCTAGATCTAATAAATGTACACATATTTATAGTAAAAGAAATTCATTTTTTTTATATTTTCAGAAAATATGATGTTTATGAAGCAAGTTACAAATTTTCAAATAAGCACTTCTTGTTTAAATCTTACATCAGAAATCCATTTTTTCTTGCCTTTTATTATGTGATGATTGAAACAAATGAGTTCGATTCTTTATGTTATACGAACACAAGTCAAAGGTCTGATTATAGTCTTTGTTAAACGATATTCCACATTAGCAAATTTATTTTAAACTTCCGTTATACTATGGTGTATCGTTTCAATGCTGTTAATACTGCATTCTACGTTTAGTTTTATGCAATAAAAAAGATGTTTTTTTAAAGAGAATAAAATTTTCATTAAGCAATATTCCTATGATAAATTCATTTTATGAGTACTCGGATATCGATTAGTTGTACTTAGTACAATTAATGCTGTACGTTTACGATTTTTCTTGATCAATTTTTCTTATCACTGGAATGACTTCTATCAGTCTTTTTCATCGGAGTGTACAAACGCTATTAATTTAACGCTACTAACTTAATTACATTAATTAGATTCTAATTAAACTTATAAAAATCGATTTAAATTAAATCTAATTTTCTGAAACATCAACATTTATATAAATTTATATAAATTTTGTTTATTTGTACAAACGCGCATGTATGTTTCTTGCACTGGTTTCTGCTACCTTGATAGTTAAATGAGTTCAAGATGCCGTCATGTTACTGTCAGTCATTGAAATAGATGTTGACAAACTAAGAACAAGATGCTTTCATTATACTTCACATTATATGAAATATTGCCCTCATATGAATTCTAAATTTGATAATAGCAAGTTGATAGCATCTTAATGACATGTAAAATATATGTGCCATCAATTTGCCATTATGTTGCCAGCATGATACTATATATGAAATGCTAGCTCATTGCGTACCGTCATTTTGCCATCAACATAACGCATTATTAATTCTCAACATTTGCTCTTGAAATTTTGTAAACTGGTGATGTTTATTTGCCCCTTACGTTGCTAACTCAGTTTGCACATAAGATGCCTATGTCAGCAATTGCCGCAACTTCATAATAACTCGTGCAGTTTGTCTAACATTAGTTTGTCTAATATGTTAAATCACGCTTGATTATCTGAGTATTGTACAAACGCATGTCCGTTTTTTAAACCAGTCCCGCAAATATGACATCTGTGCACATCGTCAAAACGAATCAATGCATGTTGCACCGCAATTACAATCACTGTTAATAATGCGCTGCAACACATCGTCATGGTATACGTCACCTCATATAACAATTTCGGTAAGTACACTGACAACACAAACAAATGATTAAGCTGGAAGATGATAAAGTACATGTAGACAGTTGTCGTCAGGAGCCTCCACGCGATGTAACATTTATTTGTATGTACAATCTTCTTAAGGATTGTGGAGCTGTAAAAATATAAATCAATTTTCTCGTTAATAAGGAGCGTACCAATTTAATCAATCGCAATACAATAATTGTAGAATTCACTGATACTTGCAGATAAATCTCACTCATTTGCCAATAGTAAATGAGCAGGAAATAAGCCAGGATAGGCGCGGAATAAGTATTAATGATTAAATACACAGCGGTAACAAAAGGCATGTAAGATTGTAGACCGACATATCCTGCCGCGATGTTCACACTCCCAAGGCTATTGGAGTTTCCCTAAAATATCAATGCACAGTACGAGATAATAATCAGTTTAGTCTTTGACAATCTCAATGAATTATTGAACTAATCATAATAAAAAAGATTTTGTATTGTTTCTCGCCAAGAAAACTTTATAAGAATTTAAAATTTGATAAATCTTTATTTTTTTATATATAATATATACTATAAGCATATTTAAATATGAAGTATATTAACTTCAGAATGTTTGAATCTCCAACGAAATTTTTTATAGAAATTTAACTATTAGAAAAACAATTTCGATATAAATTTAAATAATATAATATTGTAAAAAAAAACGATACTTTCACACACACACAAGTTTTACTAAAAATTATCCAAAAGAAAGAAAAGATTTGATCAAAGATATTTTCTTCTATTCTATTCATGTGCATTAATAAAAATCAAGGACTTAAAATATTTATATCAAATATCATATTACCTGATAGAAATAAAATACATTGCCCAGCCAATAATGTAAGAAAACTCCACGATCGAGCGAATCGTTTTCTCTCAATACAGTGTTAATTATTGAGCTTACAATGATCTGCATCGGTAACAGGATCACATTGTACGGTTGGTGCAACATCGCCGAGATCCTCACCCACATATTTATGATAAAGAACACCATTATACTCATAAAATTATACGTATCATGCTTAATTTTCCTTATCACTCGGTATCCATAGGTTATCAGAGATATCACTATTATTCCCCAAAATATTTGTACCTCATATATTCCACTGCAACAAACGCAAAAACTTGCTTTTTAAAATGTATGATTCACTCGTATAGTCGCTTTAATGAATGATTAATAAATTGATATTTATGTGTAGTATAAATATAGTACAATTTACCTTGAGGAATACAATGGAATTTTCACGACGGCACCATTGGACATATGGCGAAGATATATACATACCGCGATAGCTATATTCTGAAACAATGATTGCTGTTTGTATTCTTCTTCTTCAGATTTATAAGCAATCCGGATTAGAAGAGCAAATGCTGAAAATAAATATCATTATTGAGCCAAATTTTGTAAAAGATGTCTGTTCATATCAAGGGAATTCATTTCCCAGTCGCTTATAATTAAAAAAATCTATCTACTTCAATATTTATGTTGAGAAAAAGATTAAACTCTCATCAGTATTTAGACATTTTACCAGTTAAAAGTAGAAGTGTCATGCCGATTTTACTATCGTCCTCCTTCAACCACTGAGCTATGTCAGGCAGATGGGCCCACTTGTTGCCTGTGCTGTTTAGCTTTCGCAGAAATATGTGTCCCAAAAATAGCAATAACAGCATAACGCAGTGTTCTATATAATATTCAGTTGATCCTACTATATTGCTGTTATATACCGTACTATTAGATGGCGAAGAGATTTAGCTATGTCGCTACAGATAATTCAAATCTGACTTGAATTTTATTATTCTATTTTTTATAAATTTATATAATAATAAATTGATAAATGAATGATTACATTTTTTGTATTTATCTAAAATTAATAGATAATAGAAACTCAATGTGATCTCTCGAAATTTAATATTTGAAAAAGTACATATAATTAATGTATCAATTTCTGTTCACACGTGAAATGTATGGTAAAATATACATAATGCAATCTCTGAAAAATTTATAGAAATTATATGCTGATTTTTTCATGAACAAATAATATTTTCAATGTCAGATTTGATCTACCATTATATCAGGAGGGAAAAAAATTCTACTCACTTTCGATAGTGCATCAATTCGAGTAGTTTCGTAAAATATTTATAGGCAAAGTATGCGATTAAAGTAGACCAGAAAAAGTACCATGTCTGATGTTCTTCCTCAATGTAACTGCTGCCGCAGAAGCTTATTATATGCATCATCGTGATAATTTCCAACATTCTGTATATCGATATTTTCAGCGTAACCTATATTAAAAATTAAAAATTTTAAAAATCACAATGGAGATATACTTCGAAAAAAATGCGAGTTCAAAAATTACTAAAATATAGCAGGAATTAAATTATCTACAGGAAACAATAATTATTATATTGTAATAAAAATAATTTAGGGTATATTTGTAGTAAAATATTTATTACTAGAGTATATTTTTGTTCAATTTATATAAATTAAATAAATCTATATCTAATTATTTATTGCTCAAATATTTTCAATGTTTAAATTAATATTTTTTATTATCTAACATTGGAAATTAAATAAATATTGGTTCTTACATTTCTCTTGTTATTTAAATTCAAATTATAGTTAATATATGAAACGCCGATGATTAATAGGAACAATAGAGCTTTGATACTCGGACAGAGAGAAGTTATGTTTCCAAAAGTGTAAAGATACAATCCTAAGCACAGGGAAAATCCCATCAAAAAAAAAAATACTGTGTTTTTACGCGTAGTCCAAACTGTGGTTTCCACATGAAACGCGATAAAAACCATCTGAAAGAAGATGTAGAGTAAAATTATCTTCAAATTCCTTAAATTAAAATAAAAGATATTAATTACAGTGTTACATATATCTTAAAATTTATATTTATAAGATTTTCACTAAAAAAGGAATCAAAGAGATAATCTTTCTTATTCTTCACAATCAGAATTTTTCAAAGCTTCTATATACTTTTGACTTTAAAAAATTTTTTTAATTTTTATATGAATTACAATACTTTTAAGTGTTGAAAAAAATCTACATCTTAAAATTGCTTATATGTATGAATTCTAATATTCTAAGATTTCTCATTTTATAATCTTTGGATTTGAAAAAACTTATAAAATTTGAAATTAATTTTTTTACAAATTTTTCATAAATTTTCTATATAAAAAATTATATTTAATATTATAAGATATTATAAGTTTTTTTTATACCAGGGTTCACTTTGATTTGAATCCTCTTTAAATATAATTTTTTAAATACTAATTAGATCTTTCTAAATTATCTATTTTGCTTACTTGCCACATGACGAACAAGACAATAACTATCAGACTAAAGTCATATATGGCTAAATGGCTAGTTACAAGCTCTTCCTTCATCGCATCAAGAATCGCGTGATAAGACAAGGCAATATTCTCAATGTCGTTTCGATCACGCTGTGTCTCGTTTGAATTCAACCAATCAAGATGCAGATCCGTGATGTTCAAATATTTCTGGTATATATCTAAAAAATATTGAATCTGCCTTATGATCGCTAATTCGAAATTTTGGAATACTGTAAAGATACATCAAGATATCGATAAAAGATCCTACTTGTAGAAGAAAATATAAATAAAACCCCGACGTATAAATTAAGATAATAGTATTAAAGTAATGTATATGTAATAGTTTGTTTTAATTTATTATCACTTTAAAAATTTCAATAAGATGTAACAATTTCTTGTTATTGTGCAATAATAAAAAAAAATGTAATCATTTAACAGAGCATCTTTTCAATTTTTTAAAGAAACTATTTGGTGTCAGCTTGCAGATATTTAGTCATTTCTTTTTGAGACTTCATGCAAGAATCTTGACGCAAGAAACGAAGCCCAAAAGAAAATTCCAGTATTCCTAAACCTTTTTTTTTTAAATAAAAAAGATTGAATAGTTTCAGATGAATTGTTTTATGTAACATATATTATCCTCTTATTAATAGCAATTAAAACCTCGAAGAAACTAGTGCCTTCAT